AGACTGATGTTTCTCTCTGTCTTTCCCTCTCTCTTCCATGCTCTCTAAAAATCAATGGAAAAATATCCTCAGGTGAGGATAAAAAAAGAAAGAAAGAAAGAAATGTCATATCCTTTGAAAGACACATCTTAAAAATGCCTAAAGAAAGTTGTCATTTTTTCATGGTGAAGGGACTGTAGTCCACATTGATGAAAACACCTTGGTGGCTGCGGTGACTGGCAGTGGCTGCAGTAGCGGGGTGATGGGGCTGATGCCTTCCCCTGATCAGCCCGGTCGCCTCCCACAATGGGAGGCCAGACTGTGGCTTAGGCCCATTCCCCAAGGGGAGCAGGGAGCAGGTAGTAAGACATTCCCTAGGGCTCCCGTATGTGATGGGGGCAAGCTGGGCTGAGGGACCCCCCTACCCCCGCCAGTGCACAAATTTTTGTGCACCGGGCCTCTAGTTGGTTAATAAGATTATATAGGTTTCAAGTGTACATTTCTATGATACATAATCTGTATATCTACATTGATTCTTGATATAAGCTCAATATAGTATTCTCTATACTGACAATGTAATTTCTAGATATATATTCATCATAGTAGAATACCAACCCAATCTGCAGGTGGGTAGGTCATCAGAGTGACCTCCTCCATGATCACTTTTAGCATCCCTAGCCAAGAAGGCTCTATTTCCAATGTGGCAATATTATCTTCATCACAGTCAGCAGAGGAGAGATGGACCATGGAGTGCACACATGGAAGTTGCAGTGGGCCAAGCCTGGTTGTGGCACATGTCACTTCTGCTCACCTTTTGCTGATTAGTACTAATTCCCATGGCCATAGCTACTTGTAAAGGGGGCTGAGAAATGCTGTATATCCCAGGAAGAAAAGAAATCAATTATGACAAACAGTCTCTATAGAAGATTATATTACAAAAATGTAATTATAGTTATTCATTAATTATCATTGAGTGAATTCACTTGAAACACATTGTTATGAGTGCTTTGAATTAAACAAAAACATAGTTCAATAAGCAAAAGAGTTACTTTTCTTCTGAAATTCAATAGTTACCTATTACAAGAACAGGAACAATTTCATAATCAATTGATGTATAAAGATTATAATTTCTCTTTTTCTTTTATAGGGCGGACATATAATGATCTGAATCAATACCCTGTGTTTCCATGGGTCTTAACAAACTATGAATCAGAAGAATTGGACTTGACTCTTCCAGGAAACTTCAGGGATCTATCAAAGGTAACTTTTAAATAGATAGAAGTCCATTTTCTTCATAAGGTTATATTCTACAAACATTTCTACCGATTATATCTATTCAGTTAATGTTTGTAAGAATGTAAACCTGGTTGTCTTCTTTCGTAGTCAGTATCTAAATCTCATCAATTCTTAGCATAAGTATTAAGCCACAAGAAGATAAATTAGTACTAGCATAGGCAAAATGAAATGGATATTTGAGGAAGAACGAAGTAGGGAGAGATTGCTCAAATAACCTAGGTTTTAAGGGTCAAATCAAGAAACCTAAAATTAGTACAAAATATAATAGCAAATCATTTCTAGGAAACATTTCTTAGGTGATAAGACATGTTATCTTGACCATAATACACACACATATACAAACACTGTAGGGGAGCTTAATAGTGAAAAGAAGTTGGTTACAACAATTTATCAAGGGTCTGGTAGGATTTAGCCCCAAAACTGGGAAGAAAAAAAATATATAATGGCGGATATGAATGAAAAGCTAATTTTTGGTTAGTTCAACTCATTTGTCCAAAGGAAACTTAATCAGTATACTAAACTCTCTGAAATATAGTGAAGAACTAGGAACTAAGCCCCAAAAGCTTCTCTATAGACTAAGATAATTTCAGAGCTACCTTAAGCTTCTACCCATCCACTATGAATATCTCTTTTTTCTATCATCTTGGTTGTCAGCTTTAGTATTCCACAGTGGATTAAAAGACTAATGTATTTATATTTGGGTTTGGTTGGGGGAGGTTTGAGGAGCTTATGGACAAGGGGAGCATAAGCCCTGTGAGACAGGGAAATATACATTGCAACCAATTTAAAATTAATCCCATAGATCAGGGGTCCTCAAACTACGGCCCGCAGGCCACATGCAAGTACAAATATTGTATTTGTTCCCGTTTTGTTTTTTTACTTCAAAATAAGATATGTGCAGTGTGCATAGGAATTTGGTCATAGTTTTTTTTTAAACTATAGTCCGGCCCTCCAAAGGTCTGAGGGACAGTGAACTGGCCCCCTGTTTAAAAATTTTGAGGACCCATGCCATAGATGGTTTTTAACTTAGCACACCTTCTCTTCCCCCTTTTCTTGCCTTTGAAAACTAAACTTACCTAAGTTGAAATTCTGTGTTCCACTACTTACTCTTACTGGATATGTGAATTAAAAGCACTTTCCCTTAGCTTCAGTTTCCCCATTTGTATTATAAGAATAATAATACTATCCTCCCTCATCCTATATAATAAAACCCTAATATGCTAAGTGTCTGGTTGTCCGGTTATCCATTCAACCAATCAAACAGTAATATGCTAATGATATGATAAGGCCACTAAACCTATTGCTATGACATTCATTGACCACCAGGGGCATACAGTTGACTGGTCAACCAGTCACTATGATGTGCACTGACCACCAGGGGGCAGACATTCCGACTGGTAGGTTAGCTTGCTGCTGGGCTCTGACTGATCCAGACTGAGTGAGTCGGGCTGGACATGCCCTGGAGCCCTTCTGTGGTCCCTCCTCAGCTGGCCAGCCTCCCACATCCTTCCCTAGCCCTGATCATGCAGTGGGGTCCCTGGATCTGGCCTACACCCTCTCTCAATCCAGGGCCCCTTGGAAGATGTCGGAGAGCCGGTTTCGGCCACTGGTGCACGAATTCATGCAACAGGCCTCTAGTATAGTTATAAAGATCAAATAATGTGTACATTTAAAGAAAGTAATACTTGGGATATAGAGGCACTTTATGAATATTAGCTATTATTATTACACATGGAATATTTCTTAGCCTATTTTTGAAGCCAGCATACTAATTTTTGCACATTCTTATGTCATTCACTCTCCTGTTCTTTCATTATGTGTGAAATTTCTATCAAATATTAGTTGCTAGATCATTGCTAATTTCAGTTATGATATTATAGGTGCTAAATGGACCTAAGAGATCAGTTAGCCACCATCTTACTGAGAATCACGCGGTGGTAAAAAAATAATGCTAGCAATTGAATTCCAGTTTGGCTGTAAATATAGTAATGTTTCCAATGTAATTGAACTGAACAAAAATCACATGCAGATAATTAATCAGACTTGTGTAGATAGACACATTGTGACTCATGGGGCCTTTCCTCCAGGAGCAAATCTAGTTATACGTTATCTGAATAAAATCATTACCTGCAAAGTTAAATAATTAGGTACCATATTATATAGAGAGAAATATGAGAGGCACTATATAGCGGCTAGGAACAAGAACAATGGAGCTAAAGTGCATTCAAATCTGGGTCCTTAAACAAATCAGTTTCTTTACCGGTATAACGGAGACAATAATAATAGAGTTGCTGTGAGGATTTAATGGTTAATAAGTACAAGGAACTTAGAATAGTGCTTGGCACAGCATTAATTAATACAATAGTATTATGAAGATAATGTAATAAATCATTGATATAAGTCATATACTTTGAGTTCTTTCAAATAATGGTGATAAATATATGCTGGTATTTTCTTATTAGAATTAGAATGTTTGAATGGTAAGGATTTTTGACATGACTTGCCAAGTTTGAGGTATAACTTTGGGTATAAAACAAAACAAAACTAACTCATCAATATCAGGATGAAAACTGTTAAACTAGTTCTTTAAACAAAATTTTATATGCATGTGTTTTATTTCACATTAATTGAATAACCATTATGTAATAGATATTATAAAATATACATATAATAAAAATTTAAAGGTAGGCTCCCAGTAGCATGATACATTAAAACCTTATAAGCAGTCTACTATGGATACTTTAGATTATTTTTACAGTAGGAAAGGAGATCCTGTCTCATTGAAATCAACTTGGATATTATGGTGAAAGGAAACTTATAAACCAAGGTGTCTTTCTTTACTCCATTTATTCATTTATTCTTTCAGTAATTCAGTCAACAAATATTTGCCATACACTCACTATTTATCAAGTATTGTACTAGGTGGAAGGGAGTACAAGAATTAATAAAATAGACATAGTTGTAGCCTTCCTGGAAAGAGTCCAGTCCAAAGCTGAGATGAAAACTCAGATAGTGACCAGAAGCCTGTGAGGCAGCATGTATGACAATAAGTATAAAGGGGACTGTACCAAAGGAGAGAGTGCATGTTCAACTACTCTTAAGATGTTGGACTCAAATGTTCTTGAAACCTTCTCCTAACCAAAGAAAATATGGCCTTTATTATGGCTAAAATGGATTATAGAAGATTTATGATAAAATGTTTGCTAATAATTATAGATTTTTAGTCTGTGTAGAAAACATGACATACACTAAATGAGGAAGTAACTGTTTCTATAGTAACTGGAATATATAAACATTGCTCAATTTTTAAAGCTTATATGTTCCATCTATATTCCTTATGGCATAACTTTTTCCTTTGTGGCTTGCATGTGCTCTCCTATTTTTATATAGTGTTAGGTAGGTAGAAGAGGTGAACAGACTGAGCCTAAATAAATTCGGCAACGTGAACACTAACTATGTTGGTGCAAACATAGACTTCTTCATGTTGTGAACATTTGAACCCATGAGCTCTTAATCGATAGCTTTTTCTTCCAATTCTACTGTTTCATGCTCTAGCAATTTGTTCTTTATATTCTGTCAGACTAACATGATAGGGAAATGTTAGCAAATTAAAGCCTCTTGATATGTTAATAAATTACTCTTGCATTGTTCCCATGCTTCATTGAATTTTTTAATAGGAACTTCTTACAAATGGACTAAAAACCCAAGACTACCCTGTATGAAAATCATTAATAAAGAAGAGTTTAATGTAAGAAAATATATTATATGTCTAGTGGGAAAATGACATTTGAAGTATAATAATATAATTAGAAGGAAAAACTACTAGCAATGCAATATTATTTCAGTGTAGAGATGACCACTATGAAGCATATGAAATTCTTGTAGTTATAATTAATACTACAAATGAAAATTTTAGTAGAGTTATTACTCTTTAAAAGATCAAGGAAGAATTGAAATATTTGAATGATATTACAAACCAGGAACATTCTAAAAGATCTCTAACAACAAAATAAGTTGTGTCTGAACAAAGATTGGGATCCAAGTAATAATTCCTAGAAGACAATAATTATAGAATTTGTTTCAGTAAACAATAAATACATTTTATATCTTTTACTGCGTAGAAGAAATTAAGATGCTATGAAATAAACAATCCTAAAGAAAATTGAAATGTTCTTTTCTTTCTTTACTAGTGGCCTGGTGTACAAAATTTGTGCATGGGGGGGGGGTTCCCTCAGCCCAGCCTGCACCCTCTCCAATCGGGGACCCTTTGGGGGATGTCTGACCGCCAGTTTAGGCCCAATCCTTTGGGTCCTGATCTGGGACTGCTGGCTGCTAACCGCTCACCTGACTGCCTTATCACCCAACTGCCTCTGCCTGTCTGCCTGATTGCCCCTAACCTCTCTGCCTGCCTGATCACCCCCAACTGCCCTCCCCTGCCAGCCTGATCTTGCCCCCAACTGCCTTCCCCTGCCAGCCTGATTACCCCTAATGACCTCTGCCTCAGCCCCCACCACCATGGCTTTGTCCGGAAGGAAATTGAACATCCGGAAGATGGCCGGTTGACCGGGTCTAATTAATATATTACCCTTTTAGTAGTATAGATAGATTATATAGGATAGAATTGTTTAAATGTGGGGGGAGGGGAAGCCTTTTTAAGCAGGAGGAGATGCTCTTGGCAGACAAAAATACATAATCCCATATGTATGATAGCCAGCCATATGCACTATACTGCCAAACTGGTCATTAAAAAATTAAACTGAGCCCCCACCACCATGGCTTTGTCCGGAAGGAAATTGAACATCCGGAAGATGGCCGGTTGACCGGGTCTAATTAATATATTACCCTTTTAGTAGTTTGCAGTTCACCCAGATTAGGTGCTGATTGGTCAGTTTCTATGCCAGTCAGTGTCAAAAGCTCTGCCTCCTAGGCAGCCATTGGCTCCTTGCACTTCACCCAGGTTTGGT